AAAAAAAAGCCTGAGCTGTGCAGGAATAATCTGGGGTTGGACGTGACTTCCTAGATGGAGAAGAGGGAATAATTGACATTGATGCAGCCTTGTGCGTGTTTTGTAGATGCATACATACGTGCATATATATGGATGTACGTGTAGATGTGTGCATAGTGTGTGTTGATTGTCCATATCATCTATAAATCTCAGTATCATCTATCCATTCATTTTTGTCTATGTCTATCATCTATCATCTCTATCATCTACCTACCTACTTCCATCCATATCTATCTATCTATCTCTATCTGTCTATCTGTCTATCTATCTATCTATCTATCTATCTATCTATCTATCTATCTATCTATCTATCTATCTATCTCTTTCTATCATCTCTCTTTCTATCAATCTATTCATATATCCTGTCTGTATCTTGTCATCTCTTTTTCTGTATCCATCCAGACACACGAATGCATACACGTATATATACACCCACATGCATATATATATGTATACAGCTACCCAGACAGGATTTTGGGATCATGACTGGCCTACATTCAGTGCTTTCAATTTAACACCTTCCTTCCTTCCCTCCCTCCCCCACCTCCCTGTCCATAGAGCTGCAAGCCTAAAGAGAACAGGGACCGACCCCCTCTGATTTTATTGCGGCTGCCTCTTGTTTCTGGCTGTAAATAGTTGAGAGAGGAGCAATATACGGTCACGGCGGCGCCTCCATTTCCCAGCCACCCTGAGAGCCGCCACGGTCTTGGTTCTCCCACACGTATGCCAGCCACCCTTGCCGGTGTGGCCTAAATGCTGCTGAGCCGTAGGTAGCCTCTAGTTGCGCACCTCACTTGTTGGCAAGGTAGCGGTGGTCTTGGCCACGTCTTACATGGAGGGTTGGACCTGTTTCCCGAAGGTATCCTTGCACACTGGGAGTGTGGAGTCAGCTTGTTCAGGTCCTTCAGAGGTGGCTGGGGCAGGGGAAGGAAAGGGTAAGAGCTGTCATTGTAGGTATAGCTTTTTTTAAAAAAAAAACCCAAAACCGGACGTTGATAATCCTGGCTTGAGTTCCTGCCCTCTGCAAACCTGTTAAGAATCCCTTCGGCTACTAAGAGATTTCTGGGAAAGCCTTTGCAGATTTCAAGGAGGCAGAAGACTGGATGTTTTTCGCCAGTGCGAGAACATAAGAGATGAGTTGAAGGACTAGCCTGGCGCAAGGCAATTTCACACGTGACGCTGCTCCTCAGAGAAACTTAAGAAAGGTTGTTAGCCACCCACCCCTGCCTCTTTTTTCATACTTCCCGTACTAGATCCTGTCCGAAAGGGCCTGGGAGGTGGTGAATGCTTCGTTTCCGAAATGTTTTAAAAAAACGGTGAAAAATTCATCTTCTTGTGCTTTTCAGTGGGGACACAGAGGTTGCCCCATTGAGCAATATTTCCATCTCCAAAGTTAAAAGAGCTGGGGGAAAAACAACACCCCCCCCTCCCCGTCGTCATAGATGGGCTCAATCCAAGGCTCGTATTTGTCCTTGCATGCCTCCTTTCGTCTCACCTACGGGGCAGCGCTGTGTATTTATAACATCTTCCTGAACATGTTTGCGTGAGTCGCCACCGCCTGTCCTACAAAACATTTGCACCGAGCGTTGGTGAAGGAGGAGGCTCCACTCTTTCCCCAATTCAGGAGACGCGTCGACCCAAGACGTTTTTAGAGCGTTTGAGAGAGGACTGGAAATAACCAGGAAGGTGGTAATGAAAACAATACGGTGGGGAGATCGTACTCATCGCACAACCTCCTGGCCTCTATTTCTGCTGGAGATGATGGGGCTAGAGAAGGTCAAGATAGCCGATGGGCCATCAAATGCAAAAAAAAATATATAGCTGGGCTGTGAAAGTCATAAGCGGCTGTGGACTTGAAGTCTGTTTGTTTTGGATATTGGAAAAAAATTATTTCTTTTTTTAAAAAAAACCCTGAGAAGTGTTGTCGTTTCACCGAAGAAAATACCGGGGGCAGGAGGGGGGGAGCTTTATAAAATGAATTTGTCATGCACTCTAATTCACATCAGTTTGGTCCCGAGTCCATTTTAGAGATAAGCTTTGATAGGAATGCAAAGCTTCCTGTTAAAATGACGTACTTTCTCGGCACACAGTCAATAAACGGAGCCCTACGTTTTTTTTAGGGTTTTAGATAAATGGAGGCATTTTTGTTGCGTTCTTCCAAACATATGAAACTCCGCTGTAAAAATTGAGACTGGTGAGAGTGCACGTCGGTCTTCGGATGAACGTAGGGGCAGGTCATCCTCAGCTTTTGTGGGTGAAACAGGTAAATCCTGGGACGTTCCAGGTGAGAATTGCCCCCAAAGAATACAGTTTTTGGGGATTCGGAGTCCACTGCTTCTAGCTCCTATCCACAAGGGGGTAGTGATGTACTGCTGGAGATAATCTGTAATGGAAATATTAGGAGATTCCTTTAAAAGAGAAATACAGATCGAGGTAGCACATTTGACTGCTCACTTGATGGCTTTTTAAAAAAAGAAGTTGGTAAAGGAAAACCTTTTAAGGGGTTAAATGTTAGGGGCTTTATTCAGCTGCGGAATGGTCCTCCTCTGTCTGACGACACGAATCCACGTACATCATTTGCCGAGTTGTCAGTTATCACCCGAGCTGCTTTTTGGTTGCATCCTGACTTCTAAAGTGATAAAAGGCAAGATGACTTTAGGGGCAAGATGGGTCCAGGCTTCATCCTGAGGGACGTAATAGTAGAGCCCTTGTAACAACTAGGTAGTGCTTATTTCTGAGATTAAAAATCCAGGCTCATCTCTGTCTCTGTCTCTCTCTCCTCTCCTCTCCCTCTCTCCTCTCCCTCTCTCCTCTCTCTCTAATCTATCTATCTATCATCTATCTATCTATCTATCTATCTATCTATCTATCTATCTATCTATCATCATCTATATATATACACACATACACACGTTTTGATTTTACAGGCTTTTGCATCACCTTATGAAGAATGTTGTCGTCTTGTTTCTGATCTTGGCTAGGACCGAAAAAAAGATTACTCTACTTTTAATACCCGCCATCAACTTTGGCAGTGAATAGAATCGCCCTCAAGTGCAGATTTTACCCGACGTTAATGCTAACTTGCATGGCTCTGCCTCCCAACTCCCTACCTCCGTGAATAATGTACAGATGAGTATTAGGAGATTAAAATGATAGGATGGGGACGGCCGTTCAGAACTTTTCCCAAGGTTGAGAATGTCCTCTCTGCGTATCCAGCAAACGTTTTTTTAAAAGAATAATTTCGAGTCGCCGCTTTTGATGCCTTTAATTCGTTATTTCTGACCGTCCACATGACTGGCTCTATATAAGGTTTCAGGATGTGCATCTTGCAGTAAGAATGACGTCAACTGGGATAATATTGCCGGAACAGGATAGATGACGGTGGTAGATTTAATCCCTTCCAAGTTTAGACGCTTGGTTGCCCTCCCCCCCCCCCCCCCAACTTTCCGGTTGCAAAATCATTTTGTGGTGCGGTAAAAATGGAGTCTGCCTTGCTGATTTCCTGGGCTCCATCCGTGTAGTTTACTCCGTCACAGAGTAGGTAGTCCTTGACTTAAAACCCCAATTGAGTCTCAGATTCCCGTTGCTAAGCGCGGCATTTGTTGATTGAATTCCCCCCTTTATACGACCTTTCTTGCCGCTGTTGTTAAGTGAATCCGTCTTCCCCATTGACTTTGCCTGTCAGAAGGTCACAAAAGGGGATCCCGTCCTGCGACCGTCATAAATACGAGCCAGGTGCCAAGCGTCTTGAATTTTGATCATGTGACCACAGGGATTCTGCCGCAGTCGTAAGTGTGAGACACGGCCATGTCACCTTTTCCCCGGGCCGCTGTGATTTTGAACTGTGACTAAACGAATCGTCGTAAGTCGAGGACGAACCGTGTCCAGCTGGTTCCCGCAGATTCCTCATCTTACGATATATCTTATCTCTCTCCCGCTAACAACCATCTGAAGTGTCCCAGCGTGGTTTTTTCCCCCTCCCTCATTCCTGGCAGCTGTAAGCACCGGTAGTAAAATGAATTTGAAGGATGGTATTACACTTACAAAATAAGAGAGAATAAAATCCTTATGAACTTTATTTCTCAAGTACCCTCCGGGCATGCTATGTTCTCATTACTTTTCCCCCCCCCCTTCTCCTCCTCCTCCTCCTGTACCTGCCATATTTCAAGTTCTGCTCCTTTGAAAGAGAGAGAGAACATCCTATCCTTGGTACGGCATTATCTTTCTGTGGCTAAATGAAACCGGGCTTACTGCACATTCTTAAAAAACGGGCCACTCCGTCTTTGTTGAAATTCGGGGTGTTTTAGACGTTGGGCCACTCCGTTTCCTCTACACGTGATAAATATTTGCCGTAATTGTAGCGAGCCGGTCTTATTTATGAGCGTTCTCGTCCCCTCTCTCTTTTTCTGGAAGAATAGTGTGTTTACTACTTAATCATCAGATGTCAAAAGTATACAAGGAGTCGTTTCTCTTTTAATGGCCGTGCAAAGGCCAAGTTTTCACTGGTGGTTTATGCTGTCCTGGTTAACTTGCGGAGTGTCAACTTTAATAACCTCTGGACTTCATGAAATCCAGTGGCCTGGCTCTCTGTATACGGGACCTGTTCGTTCAGCAGCCGAAGTTACGGCAGCAGTGGAAAAAAGTCCTCCCACTTATGACCTTGAGGTCACGTGATCAGAAACCAGTGTGTATTTACAGTGACGGCCGCATCCCAGTGTTGCGTGTTGCCATTTGTGACATTCCCAGAGAGTGTCCCACAAGCCACAAGTCAATGGGGGAAGCCAGATCCATTTAATGACTGCGGCAAACTGGCCACAACTTGCTTAACAACCACGTTGAAAGCTCTGGTCTTAATTCTGGTCNGGAATCCAACTTTGTCACATTTTGCTCTTTTTATAATCACAAAAAGAGTTTTAGCAGACTATTTCATCCCCTTTATTCTTCCTTAATAGACGGTGGGAAGGCTGCTGATGTAATGTATCTTGATTTCAGCAAATCAAGAGCTTTGACCCGGAACCCCCGAGTTGTTCATGACAAGGCTGGCTGGGGAAAAAAATAGACCAAGGGGACCCTTCATCATCAGAGCCCGAGAATTCGGGTCTTCACCGTTATTATTAATTTTTTAATCCTGCAGGGTTTGCTAGCCATATTTTGCAATTAGAGTCCAGGGTGGTCCCAAAGAGGCATGATCTGAAATAAAATAATAATAATAAGGGACAAACACGGGTTTTAATGAGAGAACCCGCATGCGTCCACGCGTTCACACGTGCAACGGGAATGCGTGCAGCTGCAAAAGGTGCATCCCCGGCCTTGCTGTGAAAGATGCACCGCCCTGCAAAATGCCGCTAAGACGCGATCTCTTCCCCCCCCAAGCCTCCAACTGAAAGAGGGGGATCCCGGGGAATCTTCCCAATGACACGCGTGTCCGCCGGCCGCCACGAGACTCGCATTCCAGGGGAGGCGGGATCCCGCGGGGGTGGGCGGGGAAAAAGAAGAAGCCGCTGGCCAATCAGCGGCGCCGCTTCGCTCCGGCCCTTTCCAGGTGGCAGCTCCGCTCCCTCGCGTCTGGGCCAATCAGGAGCTTTGTTTAGGGTTAGCGGGCCGAGGAGGGCGCGGCTGCCTGTCAAGGCGGCCGCGCCAATGAAATCGCCCTTTGGGTTTTTTTCGCCCTGCCCCTCTCCTTTCTACCCCCCCCCCCTCCTCCTCTTCTCCACCCTTCCCTCCTCTGAGCCGCGCTACCGGTGCTCCCCGCTATTTGCGTCACTGACTTCTTCCCGCCTTTCGGAGCCTCTTCCAGCCGCCTATTGGCCGCCGGCGGCTGTCATCGCGCCGTCGCTCTCCCTCCGCCGCCTCCGATTCGCTACTGTCCCTCGCTCGGCACTAAAGAAGCGCCTCCTCCACCTTTCATCCTAGCTGCCCTCGCGCTTCCGATACGCCTCTCGGCCCCGCCCCCTTGTCAAGACCGCCCGTCTATAAGCCGGCGTGCTTGCCAGTCAAGGACCACCCTCTCCTCGCGCCCGCCTCCTCCCAGTGCCGGTTGGCTCACCTCGACGCCCATCCCGCCCAGCGGCCAATGGCCACCGCGGGCGTGTGTGAGGGAGCGTGAGGAGGACGAAAAAAAAGGCGGCGGAAACCGGGCCGTCGGCGGCGGCGAAGGCAGGGCCTCCCCGAAGGAAGCGGCGCCCGCCCGTAACCGCCGAAAGGGAAGAAAAGCCGGCTACGGGCCGCCGGGGAAGGCGGGAGCGGAACCGGAAACGGAGGAGAGGAAGGGGCGGGGCCAACGGGAGAGGCGGCGACAGCAGCAGCGGCGGCGGCGGCGGCGGCGGGAGCAGCGCGCGCGCCTGCCTGGATCCTGGTCGCGAGGAGGAGGCGGCGGAGGAGGATGTGGCGCGCGGAGGGGAAATGGCCGCCGAAAACAAGCCGGAAGGTGAGCTGAGGGAGCCGGCCGGGGCCGCCTTCTGAGTGTGGGGGGGACGAACCGACCGACTGACTGACTGACTGACTGTGAGGGGGAAAAACCGGCGGGAACGCGCATGCGCGGCCCCTCCGGAATTGCCTCCTCCCTCACTCCTTATTCCTCCTCGCCTTCCCGCCCTTCTCTTTCCTCGCGGGGTGCGAGGGAGGGAGGGGGGGCTATGAGGCCTCGGGACCCCCCAAAGTTGGGAGGGGCGGGGCGCGGCGGGGCGCCTCCTGGGGAGGGGGCGGGGCCGACGGAGAGGCCCCTCCTCCTTTCCCCCCCCTCGCGGGAGGGGTTGGGGGCGGCCCGGCGTCGTTGCCTGGCGACCGAGAGACCCTCCTTCCTCCTCTTCAAACCCCTCCCCCCCGCCCAGAAAGTCCTCCCGGGTTGACTGGGGGGGGGATATTGAAAGGGTCTCCCTCGTAGTTGGAAACCGCCCCCCCCCCAACCAAAGAGCGAGGGATCCCACTCCCATCCATTTCCCCCTCCCCCACTAAGTGCTCCTTGCCCCCCTGCCTTTGGCTGAGGAGAGGGTGGGATGCCGCCTGCAGGGGTCACCCGAGGATGGAGAGGGAGGGGGGGGGAAAGAGAGGAATGGGAAATACCCCCTCCCCCATTTTTCCCCCCTTTTCAGCATCCTGACCCTCAAGGGCACGTCCCCCTCCCACTCCCCCCACCGAGGTTTTAGGAGGGGGTGTGAATGTGGAGGAGGAGGGAAAGCAGGGCACTTCCTGGTAAGAAGAAGGCGGGAGGGTCTTTTTGGGGAGGGGGGGCTCAGAGAGGGAGGGAAGGGAGGGGGGGGCTACCTGCTGGCGCTGCGCCTGCTGGGTCTGGGGAGAGGGAAAGTGGGATGGAAACGTCCCTCTCTCGATTTAAAAATCCCTCTGAGCCT